TTACGGTGCTTCTCAGACTGTCTGGAGATGAATGGCCCTTGCTGGATCTCAGACGTCGAGGCATTCAAGCATAGGTTCCTGGATGCCAGAGCTAATTCTGCAGGATGTTGCGGTTCTGTGTTTCAGTGCGGACAGTCAGATCTCTAGAGCGCGAGCCACTACCATCTACAGGAAGAAAAGGAGACAAGCACATCCAGAGATGCTGGACTCAGAGCTGCTCGCAGCATGTTAGTTTTCCAAGCACAGCTCTGAGCAAGAAAGCTGGAAGGCGTCTTAGATGAGGATCACGACCTTCAGGGTTAGGGTTTAAATATGGGAGTTCAAGGGGTCAGGGTTAAGGCTCAGAGTGTTTCAAGGCGGAGGGTTTAATGTTTTCGATTTAGGATTCGGAATTAAGGGTTTAAAGTTGAGGGTGTAAGGCTTAAAATCTAGGGAGTAGAAACTGACGAGGAATGTTAGACAGGTGGAGATGTATGATCAGCTCCGAGCTCGAGCTCAGTCTCAGGACTCTCTCCATCTGTATCTTCATCTACGCGGGGAGTTTGTTTAGTAAAGTAAGGCCCTTGTGGGTTTAAGGTTCAGGGCTTAGAGTTCAAGGTTTACAGTTTAAAGTTTAGGGTTTAGGGTCTATGGCTTATGGTTTAGTGGATAAGGTCTCTCTGGAACCTCAACTGGCCGGGTGCAGATGAGCAGAGACCCTTTTTAAGCTGCATCATAGAAGGGGCTAAACCTAAAACCCAACAACCCGAACCTTTAACTATAAACCCTAAACCTTCACCCTAAACCTAAACCCGAAACCCTAAAACCTAAACCCTATACCCTAAACCATAAACTTAAAACCCTAAACCTTAAACCCTAAACCCTAAGCCATAAACCTTGTAGGTTAAAGCCTAAACCGTGCAGTTTGTTTTTGCCATGTACAGCTTATCTGAAGCGCGAGCCATCACGACTTATCTTAGTAAAAGCGACACACATAAGCAGAAATGATGGACTCGCAGCTACTCGCAGCAAGTCAGTGTTTCAAGCAAAGCTATGAGCAAGGAAGTGAGAAGATGCATCGGACTACAGTCACGACCCTAGAGCTGAACGTTAAAAGTTCGGTTAACTGTTACAGGTTTCAAGGTTTAGGAGCAGATTTTAAAGATTAGGTTTAAGAAGTTAGGGTTCAGGGCTCAGAGTTTAAGGTTTCAGGTTCAGCACAAAGAAACGCTGAGGAATGTTAAAGAGGTGGAGACGTATGAGCATTTCCGAGCACAAGCTGAGATTAACGGCTCTCCTGATCTGTTTTTGTCTGCGCTAGGAGTGTGTCTACTAAAGTGAGGCCCTTGTGAGTTTGGGGTTTTGGGCTTAGTAAATCCTGCAGGAAGTAGTGGCTTTGTGTTTCAATGCGGACAATCAGATGACAATCAGATCTCTAGAGCACGAGCCAGTATCGTCTAGAACAAGAAAAGGCGACAAGAACATGCAGAGATGCTGGACTCTCAGCATGTTAGTTTTGCAAGCACAGCCCGCAGCAAGGAAGCTGGGAGGCGTCTTAGATCAGGATCACGACCTTAAGGGTTAGGGTTGAGATATAAGGGTTCAAGGGATTAGGGTTAAGGCTCCGAGTGTTTCAAGGTGGAGGATTTAATGTTTTCGACTTAGGATTCAAAGTTAAGGGTTTAAAGTTCAGGGTGTTAGGCTTAAAATCTAGGGAGTAGAAACTGATGAGGAATGTTAGACAGGTGTAGATGTATGAGCAGCTCCGAGCTCGAGCTCAGCTTATGACTTTCTTCATCTGTGTCTTCTTCTGCGCGGGGAGTTTTTGAAGTAAAGTAAGGCCCTTGTGGGTTTACGGTTTAGGGCTTAGAGTTCAAGGTTTAGGATTTAGAGGTTAAGGTTTAGGGTCTATGGCTTGTGGTTTAGTGAATAATGTCTCTCTGGAGCCTCAACTGACCACGTGCAGATGAGCAGAGACCTTTTTTGAGCTGCATCATAAAAGGGACTAAATCGAAAACCCATAAACCCGAACCTTTAAGTATAAACCCTAAACCTATACCCTAAACCCGAAACTCTAAAATCTAAACCCTATCCCCTAAACCATAAACCTTAAACCTTAAACCCTAAACCATAAACCTTGAAGGTTTAAACCTAAACCGTGCATTTGTTTCTGCAATGTACAGACTATCCGAAGCGCGAGCCATCATGACTTATCTTGATAAAAGCGACACGCATAGGCAGAGATGATGGACTCGCAGGTACTCGCAGCACGCCTGTGTTTCAAGCACAGCCATGAGCAAGGAAGCGAGAAGATGCGTCGGATTACAGTCACGAGCCTAGGGGTGAAAGTTAAAAGTTAGGACTTCGCGAGTTTAAGGTTTACTTTTAAAGGTTTCAAGGTTAAGGGTCAAAAAATAAAGATTAGGTTTAAAGGGTTGAAGTTCAGGTTTCAAGGTTTAACGTTTCAGGTTTAGGGAGTAGAAAGCTGAGCTATACTTGAACAGATCGAGACATGTAGTGGACGCGTTCATTTAAGAGCATATATATTCCTATATTTATCGCGTTTGGCTTTGTTTATTTAAGAGGGCTTATAAAAACTAAGCCAAAAGAACCCTAAAGGTCTCAGGCTCATATATATATATATATAGATAGATATATATATATATATGTGTGTATATATATATGTATATGAGCACACACACATACATACATATATATATATATATATATGTTTTTTTAACCCGAGACCTTAAGTAGCAGTTTCATTGGTATCCAGGCGCGGCCTTCTTGCTCTTGGCCTTCTTCAGATCCTGCCATCTCCAGCAGGCGCGGGCTCCCCAAAAGCTGCTCTCTGCCGCAGGTTTAGGGTTTAGGGTTTAGGGTTTAGGGTTTAGGGTTTAGGGCTTAGGGTTTAGGGTAAGGGGGACGCCAGATTAGGAAGCCTTAGTAGCCCTAAACCCTCAACCCTCAACCCTAAACCTTGAGGAGCCCTAAGCCCAAAGGGGGGATCTGCGCCCGATGGCCTCTTGCGGTTGAGGGTTTTGGGGGTTTAGGATTTTGGGGTTTAGGGGTTTAGGGGTTGAGGGTTTAGGGTTTAGGGGTTTGGGGTTTAGGGTTTAGGGTTTAGGGTTGAGGGTTTAGGGTTTAGGGTTTAGGGTTTATGGCCGCCGTAAGCGAGGAGTTTGGGGAGCTGAGGGGTCCAGGATGCCCCGGGTCAGCTCAAAAATAAAGAGTTCGCGTCCCCCCCCAAACCCTGGAACCCCCCAGCGCCTCTTTGCTCTTCTTCCTGGGCAGCGGGGTGGGGGGTCTGCAAGCCCTAAACCCTAAACCCTAAACCCCAAACCCTAAACCCTAAACCCCAAACCCTAAACCCTAAACCCCAAACCCTAAACCCCAAACCCTAAACCCTAAACCCCAAACCCTAAACCCCAAACCCTAAACCCTAAGAGCGTGGCAGGGTTTAGGGTTTAGGGCTTAGGGCCCAGCAATCGCAATTCCTAAGATCTCACAGGTGTAAGAGCAGGCGGCGACGCATCCCATGATCTTCGATTGGAGCGTCGAGGTTTCGGGGTTTAGGGTTGGAGCGTTTTTGCCGATCCCAGAGCAACCTTGGCATAACATTGGCATAACATCCCTAAACCCTTTGTAAACCCTAAAGCCCAAAGCCCAAAGCCTAAACCCAACACCCAAAACCCAAAAACAACCTAAACCCCAAAACCCCAAAACCCCAAAACCCTTCGACCCCCACACCATTTCAAGTGGTTCATAAAGGAACCTAGCCGCCAGACCGGGTCTGTAACATGAGGCAGAAGGACCGACTCTGACTGACAAAATGAGGAAGGGGTTCCAAGGGCGGGTTTAGGGTTTAGGTTTTGTAAGGTTTAGGGTTTCGGGTTTAGGCTTAGGGTTCAGGGTTTAGGGTTCCGGGTTTCTGAGGTTTAGGGGCTATGGTTTGGGATGTCCCCCCGATCCCGATTAAGGACTGTTAGTACAAGGGGGAACATCCCAAGTTATGGTGCTCTAACCCTAAACCCTAAACCCTAAACCCTAAACCCAATAAGGGAATACCGGGTTACACTCATTACACCGCCCCTCGAAAGAAGCCTGTGGCAAGAATCCTGGGGAGACCGGGAATCGGAGACCCAAAGTTCACCCTAAACCCGAAACCCTAAACCCCAAACCCTAAACCCTAAACCCCAAACCCCAAACCCTAAACCCCAAACCCTCAACCCTAAAGCTCTCCAGCCCGCAGAGCCATGCTAAACGCCAGACGCAGATCCTCAACCTAAACCCTCCCAACCTCCAAACCCTCAAAAACCTTTTTGCCTATGAGTTACCCTGAAACCCTGACACCACAACCCCCAAAAAAACCTCTAAGCTACAACTGTTTGCTTAAGAACCCCAGAAGAATAAACAAACAATCATGCCTATATTATGAACCTTAGTAAGGAAGAATATTCTTCTGGGTTCTTAAGCAAGTAGTAGACTACGGGGCTAAACAGCCCTTCCTCGGGCAAGTGCGCCCTTGCAAGGGAGGCTGGGATGCGAACGGCCTGCCCCGGCGCGGCTTGTAGGAGGAGGACGATGACGATCCGTCACCTGAGGTGGGGTTTAGGGTTTAGGGTTCAGGGTTCAGGGTTCAGGGTTCAGGGTTTAGGGTTTAGGGTTTAGGGTTTAAGGCTTAGGGTTTCAGGGCTAGTGGGGAGCAGCACAAGTCATGCACCTATGCTACTACCTGCCATCCGACCTCCACCAGGCTGAGACATTCAAGCACTTTTTGATGTCCTCACGGGCAGAAGCATCCCTGCGCTCGATTGGCACTTGAAATTTGAAACATACCCTGAGCTACTTCTCCTGCAAACACCTGCCGGAGCTGTTGTCGTGTGCCTTGCACTGAGAGTCAGAGAGCTTGCACATTAGCTGAGTCCAGGTGTCATAGCTCCAATTACTATAGGGGCCGTGATATATAGCATAATTACAAAGACACCACAAGGGAATACTCGTCCTAACTACTCCGACCCCTATAGTACCTGGGCTATACTTCCCTCCGCCACCAACGGAGGTTGCTTTCCCCTCATCCGCCGCCGGACTGGGGATGACATTAACTTCTGCAACTGCAGAGCGCTCATGGTGACCTCCGAAGCCAGCCTCTTCCGCAGATCCTCTACTGTTTGCTTCAGAACCCCAAAAGAATGAGAAAAAAAAAACAAGAATTCCTATATTAAGGAAGGATATGTTTATTCTTTCTGGGCTCTTAAGCAATTCGTAGTCCTTGGGTCTCCAGACGAACTCGCGGTACCTGCGACCGTCGCCCCCTGGTCTCGTCCTGGTCACTTCCTCCCGGGGTTGCTGCGCGCAGGCCGCCAGCCTCTTCTCCCACCTTTCCAAGGGCTCCCCGGATAAGCTTTGCTCTGGCCACCTTGAAGTTGCCCAGGAGCCATCTTATATAATAAGGGCACCCTTTTTTAAGGGTTGGCTATTTTAAAAGGGAACCCCAGAACCAAAAAAAGAGGGTAAAGGGTACCACTGGGCTGCCGAGCCACAGGGGGCCACCCCTGCACCGCGGGATCAGCTCCTCATCAGGCAGAAGGCTCGGATCCTGGCCCCTGTATCCCATTTTGTTCCAGAAGCTTTCGGCTTGTTGGGTTGGCGCAGGGTAGGAAACAATGACATCCACACCTTCCTGGCGCAAAAGCTCCTCTACAGCCGAAACCAACTTGCTGCCGTGGCCTTGTCGTTCCTCCCAGGCGCTCATGTGTAGAACCTGCGCCCACATCTTCGAATAGTGCCGGTAAGGGTTCATTCTGACAGTCATTGCTGCCAGCACCAACTCCTTCCTATCCTTGGCCTTTTGAATGCTTTTGGGCACCTGTCCTTTCTCGCACAGGATGAAGGTGCGGCACTGGCCATGGCACGCAATCACGCGAGTCCGCACTTGACTTGCCTCCGTCTTGAAAGTGGTCTTGGAGAAATGGCACTCGTACCTGTACTCCCCTTGGAACCTTCATAAAAAAGATTTCTAATATCCTCTTGGTTTTATATAAACAAAAATATTGAAAAAACATGATTCTCAAGCAGGAAAAAGGTACGCCGCCCATCGGTGGGCATCCCTGCAGGCCTCTAGCGCACAGCAGGTCTCAGTTGCCCCTGCCGCCCTGCGGGGGCTCCGGCTGCGGTCGCGGCTGCGATCTGGCATGGCGGAACATGAGACTGGGATGGCCCCCTAAACCCTTTGACCAAAGATTCCTAAGTATGATCCTATGAATACCCAATAAGGGAAGATACAAGCTATCCCAAGGGCCTACATAGCAGAGTGCCTAGGAAGGACGTCAACAAAAACATGTTCCGCATGATACCTTCAGCTTAAGACCATCGGCCGGCAGTGAAAGCATCTCTCGAAGTTCTACCTTGGAGCCTTAAGGTTATACCCTTTGGGCTTTGGGGACCCTTGTTAAACATCCCTAGGGGAATCAACGGGCCATATTAGGAGTATGTTAAGGGGAACCTTTAGGGGTACAACCTTAGGGGTACGAGTCTTCATCCCTTGAGCATAGGACCCACAGAAACCCTGGAGTTGTTCGTTTACAGCATCTGGTGCTGAAGGCCTACGGGTTTGAGGGATTCGAGTTTGAGGATTGGAGGCTTTACTGTAGGGTTTAGGGCTTAGGCTTTGAGGGCTTCGGGTGCGGGATTTGGGGGTTTAGGGTTTAGAAAGTTTAGGGTTTACAGGACTTGTGGGTTCCGAGGTACAAGGCTTGGGCTCGGGCTGACTCTACTGCCCAGCGACTAAACGATCAAAGGGTGCCCCAAGCCCTGAAAGTAGAATAAAGGTACTACTTGGCATCCGAGTTGGGGTTTATACCACTTTGCTTCAGGGCTGAGGGCTCAGGGTGTAAGGGCTTATGGGCTAAACCCTAAACCCTAAACCCTAAACCCTAAACCCTAAACCCTAAACCCTTAGGGGCTAAGGGAGCAGAACCCAAACCCCTGGATGCGGCCAGGGGTTATTGGCCAAGAGCAGCTTCGTCTCTTGGCTTCCCTGCGCCCGAAACCCTAAACCCTAAACCCTAAACCCTAAACCCTAAACTCGAGTGCTTGGGGTTCAACAGACAAAGGCGACGCTATCCTGAGGAGCCCCGCTGCTGCTGGAGTCCTGACGCCCGCCACCCTGGGCACAAGAAGGGTTTAGGGTTTAGGGTTTAGGGTTTAGGGCTTGGGGGGTGAAGATCGGGGGTTTAGGGTTTAGCTAGATGGACGTTGCGTTCAGAGCGTGTGAGAGCATCGCATTTTTGTGGGCTGCGGATCAGCGAGGGGTCGATAGAACTTCAAAACTAGCCCTAAACCCTAAACCCGAAACCCACTACAAGTCTATTTGATGGCCCCAAGACATGAACTACCCCAAGGCTCTTGGGCCATCAAAACCCCAGGACTTGTGATCCCAGAACCCTTCCTCCCAAACCCTAAACCCTAAACCCTAAGCCCTAAACCCTAAATCCTAAACCCTAAACCCTAAACCCTTCCTAGGAGGTAGGGCTTAGGGCCGTTTGGGGTTCGGGCTCGCAGCCCTGAATCCCAACATCAGGAAGACCCAAACCACTCAAGGCCGGAGGGTGATTAGGGTTTAGGGTTTAGGGTTTTAGGGTTTAGGGTTTAGGGATGTTCCCCCTTGAGGTACGCCACTGGTAAACGCCAACCCTTGAAACCCCTACAGCCCATGAAGCCCTAAACCCTAAACACCCCACGCTTGACCCCGAACAACCTTAAAGCCCTTCAAGCCCTAAACCCTCAAGACCATACGGGACCACACGCTTAACCCCCAACACGCTTAAAGCCCTAAAAGCCCTCAAAGCTCTAAAAGCCTTGAACCCTAAAACCCTAAACCGTCCCTAAAACCCTAAAACCCTAAAACCCCAAAACCCTAAAACCCCAAAACCCCTAAAACCCTAAAACCCTAAAACCCCAAAACCCTAAAACCCCAAACCCCTAAAAACCCTAAAACCCTAAAACCCCAAAACCACCCAAAACCCCAAAACCCCTAAAACCCCTAAATCCCCAAAGCCCTAAAACCCCTAAAACCCTAAAACCCCTAAAACCCCTAAAACCCTAAACCCTAAACCCTGAACCCCTAAACCCTAAGCCCTAAACCCTACAACCCTACAACCCTAAACCCTAAACCCTAAACCCTAAACCCTAAACCCTAAACCATGGAATCGCCACCTCTTCGAAGAACTGCATGACGCGCAGCTGCGCCTCTTTCCCCGGGGCATCTTGTGGGGAGACTGTAGGGCTTGGCTATTTTTGGGATTGGGGTTGGTGTAGGGTCTAGGGTTTAGGGTTTAGGGTTTAGGGTTTAGGGTTTAGGGTTTAGGGTTTAGGATTTAGGGTTAAGGGCTAAGGGTTTAGAGGCTAGGGTGGCAAGGAGACAGGCAGTGGGCGCTAGAGGAGGAAATTAAGGGCTTGAGTGTCCCGAGGGTTTAGGGTTTAGGGTTTAGGGTTTAGGGTTTAGGGTCGGCCTGTCTGGCCCTCGGGGTGCTTGGAACCGTCCCGCCGAGAAGCTTTAAGTTTGAAAGCGCTCAGAACCTTAACCCTAAACGCCTAAACTCTAAACCCTAAAGCCCCCAAACCCTAAAGCCCCCAAACCCTAAAGCCCCCAAACCCTAAAGCCCCCAAACCCTAAACCCTAAACCCTAAACCCGAAAGCCCACCCTAAACTCAAAACCGAAAGGAAACGGACAGAATGCCAAAGGGAAGGGGACGATGAAAGAAATTAGATTAAGCGGCCGCCCTGGAATTTGGAACAGTCTTGAAATGAGCCAAAACCCCTAGAAACCCTACAAACCCTGCACGCGCTATAAAGCCTACCACCCCTACAATCCCGAACAAAAACCTGTTTGGCGTTTAGGGTTTAAGTTTTTCCTCTCCTGTGCTGCGACCCTTAAATACCCTATACAATCCAAGGGCCCATACTTCAGAACCCGTTAAGGGACCATGTTAAGGGCCCATGAAACTACCCTTACATTTCCTGAACCCCCTAAACCCTAAACCCTAAACCCTAAACCCTAAACCCTACACCCAAGAAGCCGGTGCCTCCGTGACCTCTTCCAAGGTCAGCACCCGGCCGGTGTTGTCGGGCCTGAACTTTCGAATCCGATGTTCCACTCATACATGTATCTTATAGAGGGTTTAGGGTTTAGGGTTTAGGGTTTCGGGTGTCGGGTTTAGGGTTTCGGGTTTAGGGTTTATATATACATATATATATATATATGGCAATGACACGTTTTGTATTTATTGGCTCTAGGTGCTTTAGGGCTTTAGTGATGAGCGTTGGTGGGTGGCTGGGTGGGTGTGCTGGCTTTTGGTGGCAGGTTGGCGTGTTGCTGTGTGGGCGTGTGGACGTGTGCGTGTGTCTGCGTCTACGTCTGCGTCTGCGTTTGCGTCTGCGCTTACGTCTGTGTCTGTCTCGGTCCCGGTGTGTCGTCTCTGTCTGTCTCTGTGTGTCTCTGTGTGCGTGTTTGTTTCTTATGATTCTTATGTGCATTTGTTTGTTAACTTGGTACCGGGTATGTCCGTGAGGGCTAACATCCGTTTACATGTTTTGCAGGGGTGGAGCTGGGGTTTCTAGGGTTTAGGAATTAAATACTTTCGGGTTGGGGTCAATTTGTAGACTGCCAGGCTTCACGCCAATCTTCAACGTCAAACCCCGAAACCCCAAAAACCGGTTTGGGGGGGGGGGGTTTGGGGTTAGGTTTGTGGTTTCGGGTTTCGGGTTTAGGCTTTAGGGTTTAGGGTTTATAGGGTTTATAGGGTTACATTGGAAATAGTCTCAGGAGCAGGCTTCCCGACTTTCTTGTGGAACCAGTTCAAGTAGTGCTGTGCCTGCAACTGCCCCCAGGCTTGCGGCGTGCAGGGGCTCAGCCCAAAACCCCTAAACCCTAAGCCCTAAACCCTAAACCCTAAGACCCTAAACCCTAAACCCTAAACCCTAAACCCTAAACCCTAAGACCCTAAACCGTGCACCCCAAACCCAATGAAGCCTCTGCAGGCTCTAAAGCCCAAGACCGTAAACCTTGAACCCTTCCTTCGCTTGATGCAGTGAGGGGGGGGGGGGGGGGGGGGTGTTTGCCTGAAGGACCAAGGATGTTGCAACCGTAAACCCTAAACCCTAAACCCTAAACCCTAAACCCTAAACCCTAAACCCTAAACCCTAAACCCTGACCCTTTTCCCTTCTTCTTTCTCTTGGTTCAGTGGTCCGGGCCTAGAGTCTTTTTACCTCTTCAAAGCTTGAAAAAGCCTGCCGCGCTGCTGAGCGGTGCTGTCTACTGCGGGTCTCTGGTGCGGATGCCTGGTTGTTCAAAATACCCTAAACCCGAAACCCTCATACCCTCAAACCCAAAAACCTCAAAACCCTAAAACTCTAAAACCCTAAACCCCAACTGCCCATAAAGTAGGCTCCATTACTCTGAACCCCAACAAGCGTTTCTTATTATACTGCTGATGTACGTACGGGCTACTCAAGTGGCTGGGGTTCGTTGAAGACAACATCCAACGCCGATCTTACGAGTATCAAACTATCCTAAGCCCCAGGCCCTAAAAGCCCCCTGCAAGCCCCAAGGCCTTGTCAAAGTCGCTGCACTTCCGCAGCACTTCCCGCCTGAGGCGGAGGGATAAAAATGGCCAGGACTGGGACAGGTCGGGTTTAGGGTTTAGGCGTGAATGATGACCTAGATCCCTCAGTGAACCCCCAAAACGCCGTGAGGTTTAGGCTTTCGGGCGTGGGGGGCTTTAGGAGGCTTCCAAGGCGTTGGGCGGGGGAGGGGGGGGGGGGGGGGGGGGTGGAGGTTAGGCGGAGTATTGGCATTCATCCGGTGGTTGTTTAAGGTACCCCTAACCCTGAACCCTAAACCCAAAACCCTAAAGGTTTGTTTAGGGTACCCTAAACCCAACCCTAAGCCTACACCCTATAGGGTTTTTCGGGTGATGTCTTCGGCCCTCTAGGGTTTGAGGGTGAAAAAGCGGACAAGCCAGGGCGGGGGAGGGCTCGGAATGTTTCAAAGATTGCGACTTCCAGCTGAGTGCCGAACACAAGGGGGGGGGGAGTCGGCATTGGGACTGGGTCTTCTTGGATGAAGGTCGGCCTAAGCTTTCGCGTAGGGTTTAGGGTTTGGGTTAGTGGTTTAGGGTTTGTAGGGTTAGGGTTTAGGGTTTAGGGTTTAGGGTTTAGGGTTTAGGGTTTAGGGTTTAGGGTTTAGGGTTTAGGGTTTAGGGTGTAGGGTTAGGGTTTAGGGTTTAGGGTTTAGGGTTTAGGGTTTAGGGTTTAGGGTTTAGGGTTTAGGGTTTAGGGTTTAGGGTTTAGGGTTTAGGGTTTAGGGTTTAGGGTTTAGGGTTTAGGGTTTAGGGTTTAGGGTTTAGGGATCAGGGTTCAGGGTTTAGGGTTTAGGGTTTAGGGTTCAGGGCTGAGGGGTTTAGGGACCTCTTCGCATGGAGTTCCAGAAGCAAGAAAGAACTTTTTATCCAACCCATAAACCCTAAACCCTAAACCCTAAACCCTAAACCCTAAACCCTAAACCAAAATAACCGCAAGCCCTGAACAGACTCAGGAGTGAGCCTACTTCCCTCCATCCCTTATTCCTAGGATGGTCTTTAAAACCGTCGTAAAAATTGTCCCGAAGATGATCCTCTGAAAAGCCAACTAAGGGGAAATGATCCCTGAACCCTAAACCCTAAAACCCTAAAACCCTAAAACCCTAAAACCCTAAAACCCTAAAACCCTAAAACCCTAAAACCCTAAAACCCTAAAACCCTAAAACCCTAAAAAACCCTGAACCCTAAACCCTATAAACGCTAAAACCCTAAAAACGTGCCCCCTAGAGGGCCTACCGAACTTCTAGGAACAAGAGGCTTTTTGGGTTTGGGGTTCCAGGCTGGCTTGACGCTGCAAGACCCCAAGCCCAAAACCCCTTGAACCCCCTTAAATCCGAACCTCAAGGGCCTAAAGGAGGAACCCTTATAAGGGACCTTAGGGCCTTAGGGGTTCATCTAAGGGCTACTTCACCCCCCTTGTAGGGGACCTTAGGGCCTTAGGGGTTCATTCAAGGGCTACTTAACCCCTAAAGAAAAGCTAAGTCCTTAAACAAACAAACTAACCTCAAAGTGCCAACATCCTCAACAACCCGAAGGACCAGAAAGCATCAAGCCTCGACTGACAGCCCTGGGTTACGTAGGGTTTAGGGTTTAGGGTTTAGGGTTCGGATGCAAGGCCCAGCAACCAAAGCCTGCTGAAGCTCTCGCGCCTCCCGCCTCCCCAAAGATGGAAACCTCAAGCCATTCAACTTTAAACCCTGAACCCTAAACCCTAAACCCTAAACCCTGAACCCTGAACCCTGAACCCTAAACCCTAAACCCTAAACCCAAGGACCTAAGCCGTGTAAGCCCCAGCACAAGGCTGAGGCTCCGAAGCCCATGCCCACTGAAGCTGAAAACGGGGAATAGATGAACCCAAACGGGTTCAGGGCTTAGGGTACCCGTTTACCTTAGTAGGGACTAAAGTAGTATGGGGTACATGATCCCAGTTACATAGGGCTCACTTGGTCCTCAGGGCCCCGAGGGCATGCCGGTACGCAATCCGAGCGCGTTGCGGGTTGGCTTGTCCGGCCTGGCGTCAGGGCGGTACACTGTAAGAGGTAGACCCCTCTTACAGTGTCCCTAAACCCTAAACCCTAGACCCTGCTTCAGGAGCATTTAAAGGATTGAGCTAGTTCGACTTTGCGACACGCGGAACCCTAAACCCTAACCCCCGAAGCCTGAGTCCTAACTCGAAACCCCAAATCCTACAATATAGGGGCGGAAAAATCACGAATCACATTCCCTTATGGTCCCTTTGTGGTTGTACTATAGGCCCTCCCTCCCCCCCTCAAAAAAAACTGTTCCAATTATTCAGGACCCTGTAGTAGCCCTAAACCCTAAACCCTGAACCCTAAACCCTGAACCCCCTTTTTGCTCCCGCAGCTGCGCCCACGGTGAGCAGGCCACACTTCCTCGGGTGCGTGAGGGTTTTGGGGTTTACACACCTGAAGGGACGCGGCAAAGAGACTCAACTGCTCTGGGGTTTAGGGTTTAGGGTTTAGGGTTTAGGGTTTAGGGTTTAGGGTTTAGGGTTTAGGGTTTAGGGTTTAGGGGCTGCAGGATTTAGGGAGTTGAGGGTCTAGGGTGCCGGGCACAGGGAGCAGAGGATGCATAAACCACATAAGTCACATAAGTCACAACATCTGCGCAAAGGAAGGCAGAAGGGACAGGGCAGAGGGATTAGCAACCAGGGGTTGGGGTGGACATAGGGACCCACCCTTGCGCCAGTCGAGGGCTGTCGGCGTCACGAAAAACGGATTGCATAACACCCAAACTTGGGATGTTCCCCGTTATACTAACCTTGGCTACACTCAGAAGGGTACCTAAACATTAACATTTTAGCTGCCTTGTTAAGAAACCCAATAAACCCGAAAAGGCTAAGGATCTAAAGTTACAGCAAAGTACCACAAAGTAACAGTCCTTAATAAGGGTTATAGTACCCCCTTACTATAAATCCCTAGTAAGGACTGTTCGTATAAGGGGGAACATCTCAACCTCATGGCCAAGGTTCGTGAAGGCATCTTTCCTGGGAGAAGAGGAACTATGTTGACCCGGGAACCCCTATGAAAGAGGGTTTAGGGTGTAGGGTTCAGGGTTTAGGCAAAACAATCCCTAAAACCCAATACAGAAAACAGGAATGTAACCTGGATTCCAAGAGTGAATCTAGCTTTGGCGAGTTTCGCTTGAGGATGTTTAAGACAAACCTTCGGGATTTGGCAGGTTGATCTTGCTAGGGGCCCCTCTTGGGCAAGGATTTAGGGTTTAAGCTCTTTCTTGGGTAGAAAAATCGTTAAAAGAAACCACCAAAAAAACAAAATGATTCAGGCCTTGGGCTCGAACAAAAACCCCTGGGGGGCCATGGGCCTTTAAGCAAGCTGTGGTCCAACCCAAACTCAGAGAACGTCCTAGATCAAGGTTTAGGGGTTAGGGTTTCGGGTTTCGGGTTTCGGGTTTAGGGTCTAGGAAGCCAAAGGGTTTCAGGCTTCAGGAGCTTAGAGTCCAGGGTTTCGGGATCCCAAATCCCAAAGCCCCACCGCAACCCATGAAGGGTCCAAGCCTTAGCCACGAAGTGCCGCGTAAGAGCGCTTCAGCGCTTCAGTGGGAGAGGCAACAGGACTGCGAACATGAGCAGGATCAGCTCTTCAGGAAACTTTCTCTGCAAGGTGGCTTTATCTTTAGGTATAGCACTTGTGGCAGAAGCTTCGGGAGCTTGCTCACCTCAAGAGCCGTGGATGGTGTTGTTTCTGAACACGCCCAAAACAGCAAGACAAAACAACCACCGCGGCACAGCCATGAAACCGGATATAAGAGGGAGAGAAAGAGAGAGAGAGAGAGAGAGAGAGAGAGAGAGAGAGGAGAGAGAGAGAGAGAGAGCGAGAGAGATACGCCCGACGCCCGGCGATGCAGGATCCGTCCACCCCGACGACCAATCTAAACAGCGGGTCAAGCAAGTTCTCCGGACAGAACGCCCCGCAATACTGTAAGGTTCTTCCACCAGAACAAAATCTGACAAAGGGAACGTGGAACCCAAAAAAGGGAAAGGGCGCCACTGGGCAACCCAGCCTACCCTAAACCCGAAACCCCGAAACCCTAAAAGCCCCAAGCACGCCAGGCATCCATTTCTGGAACAGCTCCGTGGGCCCAGCGGCGCACCGTATCAAGCGACAGTTGACCGCAAGGTCTGGCCCTGGGGTTTGGGGTTGAGGGTTTAGGGTTGGGGTTTAGGGTTTAGGGTTTAGGGTTTCGGGTTGGGGTCGGTTCGCAGTTAGTTTAGGGCATAGGCTTAGGGTCTGGGGTTTGGCGTTCTTACGGGAAGGGAATGAGACTGGAGAGTACAAGACAGTACCAGGCAGCAAACTGACAAAGATGAAGGAAGTGCCGAGGTGCGACCTTCAAAACCTCCCAGAAATCTAAAAGCAAACGAGGACTTCAGGGTTTAGGGTTTGTGCAAAAAAGTCCTCTGCTCTCAGCCTCAATTTCCTAGATTTTGGTAAGGAATTTCTGACTTGGACAACATAATCCCCTTCACACATATAAAAATTCCTCGTTCACCAGACAGTACAGCAACCAAACCAAGAACCCCAAACCCTGAACCCTAATCCGCGAACCCCAAACGCCAGGGTTCAGGGTTTACGGCTTGAGCGCCTGGGTTCAAGGTCAAGAGTTCAGGGTCTAGGGTTTGCTCGGGGATTTGGGAGTTTCAGCGATTTGGGCAGGGTTTAGGTTTCCAATGGCTTGCAACTGATGGGTGTCCGTAGGATCCCTGAACCCTCCACCCCTCGCAAACTCTCGCGCGCTGGGAGAAACGCCTACTGGGGGGCGCACGATCTGTTGGCGGGCTCCTGTTCGCACGGAGAACTCTTCGCGGCTGTGGGTGTGGGACTTGAGAGCTGACATCTAGCTCAGGGATGAGGGTTTATAGGGCTTATTAGACCCTCGACCCTAGACCCCAAACCCTAAACCCTAAACCCTAAACCCTAAACCCTAAACCCTAAACCCTAAACCCTGGCGTCCCCGCACCCCGACTCCGAAACATCCAACTCCTGAACCCGAAATCCGGAGGCCCTACGCTCCTAAACCCCTGAGCCCCTAAACCCCTAATTGCCCTGAAAACTAGGGTTTAGGGTTTAGGGTTTAGGGTTTCCCCAAACCCTAAACCCTAAACCCTAAACCCTAAACCCAGGGTTTAGGACACTAAGCCTGCCGGCGCCTCACCCGTCCACCGAAGCCGAAGATCAAGAAGCGGCACCTGGGTTGAGTATAGGGGCCTGAAGAACTAGAATAGGTTTTTGCGGGTTATTATAGAAAAATTACAAGGGACCATGTTGGAGTATTCTTACAGTATTTATTCCGACCCCTACAGTATTTGCAGCCGAGGGTTTAGGGTTCCGGGCTCTCCACGTCTCAGAAGAAAGGCTCTGGCATCCCAAGTCCAACACCCACGCCCAAAGTTGAGGTTTTGGGTTTTGGGGTTTTGGGGTTTTGGGGTTTTGGGGTTTTAGGGTTTTGGGGTTTTGGGGTTTTGGGGTTTTGGGGTTTTGGGGTTTTGGGGTTTTGGGTGTAAGGTGCAGAAGCCAGTTTCTACAGTTGTTGCTTTGGAACCCTTGTCAAAAAAGCACCCTACCCCTACCCTGCCTGCAAGCCCTAAAACCGCAAGCCGTACCTGTAACAGGAGGAAGGCGTCTGCGGCTTTCTGCTCTAACTTGGTAGCAGAAGTAGCAATACCATAATCAGGGCACCCTTTTGGGGGGTTGGTTACAGTACAGGGTACCTCTGGGCTACCTAGTTAAGGTTTTTTAGCATTTCTTGAGGCCTTGCCCTAAACCCTGAACCATAAACCCCAAACCCTAAACCCTAAACCCTTGCTAAACCATTTGGAAATACTGGGTATCTCACTCTGCGTCTTCGGCCTCCACTCGGCCTTGGGGGGAAGACGGAAGGGTGAAAGAGTTGGGGTTTAGGGTTTAGGGTTGAGGGTTCAGGGTTGAGGGTTTAGGGTTTAAGGTTCAATAAACACAAAACCTGATATATTCCTTCAGAAGGTTTTGGGGCTTTTTGATTTTTTTCAACTTCGCCTCCGTTTGGGGGATGGATGCGTTCGCGCACGCTGCAATCAGCAAAGCCAATGTCTTTTGGGGGGGGGGGGGGGCTTCCCTAAACCCTAAACCCCCCCCCCCCCCAACCCTAAACCCTAAATCCTAAACCCTGAACCCTGTTCAGCCTTCGGATATCTTTGCATCGGCCTTTGGGCACCTCCCGGCGGGATAGTGCCCCCCATCCCCCCCCCCCCAATCACACCCACCTAAGCCCTAAGCCCTAAGTTAAGAGCCCTAAGCCCAAGCCCCCTAAGTCCTAAGCCCTAAGCCCTGAAAGCCTTAGCCTTAACCCTAAGCCTAAGTCCTCAACAGTAGGGCTTGGGTTTAGGGTGTAGGGTTCAGGGACACCACCAACGAGCTGCCGTACATGCCTACATCCCCAAACCCCAGGGGCAAAAGGCTCAAACCATAAAATGACCAAGCTGCCTTCACAAAAAAACCGAGACGGGTATTGAAGCCTCTTAAGGTTATAGGGCTTGAGGCTTCCGATTCAAGGATTGAAAGAGGGCTTTGCTGCGGACGTAAAAGGGGTGCAGTGCAAGGAGTTTGTGGGCAGAAATGTTCCTCCCCCAACCCCTGCAACCCCCCCCCCCCCCCAACCCCCCCCCCCCCCCCCCCCCCCCCCAACCCGCCCCCCAACACCCCCCCCTAAACCCCCCCCAACCCCCCCCCCCAACCACCCCCTCCCCCCCCCCCCAAACTGCCCCCACCGAACCACCCCCCCCAAACACCCCCCCCCCAACACCCCCAAAGCTGAGTTCCCCGACTGTGCGGCTCGGAAAACTCGATCTCGGCGGTGTCGTCCGACTGCCGCGCAAAGACCCGCATGATCGGTCGAGGTCCACCTGAATATTAGCAAGGAGGAATAACCACAAGGACTACGATGACAATCACTACCAAAATTAGTAGGCTTAGGGCTTGGGCTTTCAGATCAGACCAAAACTGCAGAACATAAAGCCCCCCCAAAACCCCAAAACCCCAAAACTCTAATCTCCCCCCCAAAGAGACATAACAACGGTCAGAGCCAGGGAGGGGACTGTGGCGTTTTGGGGGTTTTAGGGTTTAAGGTCTGGTTATTGCTGTTAGCATGGCGACAATTGCTGTGAAGATATGCTTCTTGTATGGTAACAAAAAATGTTACAACTAGTCACTATGAAGGCTTTTGCTAGTACGAGTTGCATCGGTTTATCGTACTGTGTCTGTGTGATCCACACTGTTCTCGTTCGTTTGGGGTTGGGGTTTTGCAACCCTAAACCCTAAACCCTAAACCCTAAACCCTAAACCCTAAACCCTAAACCCTAAACCCTAAACCGTCAGCAGCCCAAGCGCAGTCCACCGTGGCAAGCTTCAGGGCGCCCTCCTCTTGGACGTGGGCCGATGCGTACCGGTTCAAGGTTGAGGATTTGTCGTACTTCTCCAGTAGCCAAGGGAACAAAAAAGGTTAAACTTTATGACTCCTACTAAATAAGGAAACCCAAAAAGTTCAAAGTTCAACTGTTGGCTAAGCAAGTTGTGCATTGGTTCTTACTTTGTATGGTGAGATAAGGAACCTGGTTCCGTTTTCAACACTGGTCTATACTGCCCTTAGAACCTGAATAAACACAAACACAATATTTTTAATATACGCTGGGTGTTAAACAAATAGAATTCAAGAATAATTCCTAAGGGGGATAACCCTAAACCCTAAACCCTAAACCCTAAACCCCTAAACCCTAAACCCTTATAGTCGTAAGTTGAATGCTTACTCTGCACGTATCGGGACTGTTGAGCTGGCGGCGATGGGGTGCCGAACTTTTGAAACAAAATCCTCCAAAGATAGAGCGCCCGAAGCCCTACCACCGTTTAGAGGTGAGGGGTTTAAGGTTTAGGGTTTGGGGTTTGGGGTTTGGGGTTTGGGGTTTAGGGTTTAGGGTCTAGGCTTAGTGTTGCGGGCCTCGCCAAAACAGCCCCTGTGAAAAGTCACGGGCCACGGCACTTCCCCACATTCAAATGTTTGGCCACATCGCCCTGACACATTACCCTAAGCCTTATGAACCAAGAATTTCCTAAATTTGCTTGACACGCCCTAAACCGGAAAAACGAACCCCAAACATCACAAAGCCCTAAACCTTACAAAGCCTTAGGCCTTACATTGACACCCTCAAGCGGAAAGCCTCAACCCTCAACCTTGACCCCTGACCCCCGAAGCTTCGCCTGCGGAAAGCCAAGTGCTTCAAACAAGCTCTTGGCGGCGGCGCTGATCGCCGCAAAGTGGAGGAGGCCTATAGTATCCCTAAACCCTAAACCCTAAACCCTAAACCCTAAACCCTAAACCCTGTACGGTTTGGGATTTTGGGATTCACAAGCATCTACGAGGCTTCGGCTCGCTGAAGTGGGCCCTCAGCCCAAACCTCGAAGACAGCACCTAGTCCTCTACCCCCCCTACCCCCTACCCCGAAGCCCCCCCTAACGCTTCGGGTTTAGGGTTTAGGGTTTAGGGTTTGGGGTTTAGGGTTTAGGGTTTAGGGTTTAGGGTTTAGGGTTTAGGGTTTAGGGTTTAGGGTTTAGGGTTTAGGGTTTAGGGTTTAGGGTTTAGGGTTTAGGGTTTAGGGTTTAGGGTTTAGGGTTTAGGGTCTTGTGCTGCAAAGGCACTGGTGCCTAAACCCGCAAACACCAAGCCCCCTAGGCGTAAAGAAGGGGTCGGAATAGTTACTAAAAGCATTGCCTTGTGGCCCCTTTATAATTCGCATACTACAACAACCCCTCCCCAACCCTACTCTAATTATATGGTAGCCCTAAATCCTAAACCCTAAACCCTAAGCCCTAAACAAAAAAAAACAGCGACCCAGACCTCCAACCCCAACCCTCCAAGTGCTGCCAAGGCACCCGTGTGTGAGGAGGCCGTGGCCCGAGCCTCATCTCCAGCTCGGGGGTTTAGGGTTTAGGGTTTAGGGTTTAGGGTTTAGGGTTTAGGGTTTAGGGTTTAGGGTTTAGGGTCTCTTTGCAAGCGGGGGGGGGGGGGGGCGCGAGAGTCAGGGGTGCATGGGGGCCGTGCCACCCACGAGACCCCCCCCCCCCCCACATTTTTCAAGCCGCGCCAGCTTGCTCTGACGAAGTTCAACGAGCCATCATGCCGCAACCAGGGACCAGCCGAGAGTAGCTCCCCAACCCTATACACCCTCAACCCTCAACCCTCAACCCTCAACCCTCAACACTCAACCCTCAACCCTCAACCCTCAACCCTAAACCCTGAACCCTAAACCCTGAACCCTACACACCCCCCAGAAGCACTAGGAAAGACCATGCCCTGCTTCCTAAAGAGGCTAAACAAAACCCTGACCAAAATGCCACCCGGCGTCCACCCACTGGGACCACCGAAGCTGCAGCGACTGGGCCCCCTCCGCCGGCTCTGCCTCACCTCTGCGGCTCTGCGGCTGGGGAGGGGTGCCCTGGGACCCTAAACCCTAAACCCTACACCCTAAACCCTATACACCCTAAACCCTACACCCTAAGCCCTAAACCCTAAATCATGCACCCTTAACCCTAAGCCCGAAACCCTAAGCCCGAAGCCCTAAGCCCTAAACCCTAAACCCAAACTGGGCCGTTTGGGGGTTTGAGGTTTAGTGGGCTTTGGGGGCTTTGATATTCTCTGGGTTGGCCTTTAAACCCTTCAACAAATCTTTGTATACAGGGTCCCTTATTCACCAAAACAAGTCAATACAAAAATCTATATACATATACATATACATGTACATATACATATATATATATATATACACATATACACATATACATATATACATATATACATATATACATATATACATATATATATATATATACATATATATACATATATATACATATATACATATATACATATATACATATATACATATATACATATATACATATATACATATATACATATATACATACATACATATATACATATATACATATATACAAATATACATATATACATATATACATATATACATATATACATATATACATATACACGCATATATATATATATATATACATACATATACATATACATATACATATACATATACATATATCTACATACACACACACACATATATGTGTGTGTGTGTACCCCCCCACCCCACCCCCCCACCCCAGGTCTGACCAGAGATCCAGGATTCAGGATCTTGGATTCGGGTTCCGGGGTCAATTCAACCTGAATCGGGCCGATTCAACCTGAATCGGGGCCCGGAACCAATACCCAACATTCCCACAAAAACTTTTCCTGGAAATCTTGGTTCTTGGTCTTTGGTTCCAGGGGCCAATTCAACCTGAATCGGGCCGATTCAGGTTGAATCAGTAAATCTTGCTACGTTTGAGCGTCTACCGGCCAGTAAGATGCAAACTCTCTTCACACGCGGGGGGAGGGTAAGTCTTCTTCCCTAAATCGTATTCCCTTAATTTTATTCCCCAAATTCTGCCGTAAACCATGCATAAGGCGGGTGGTCCTTCTAAGTAATGAAAAGAAAAAGCCTATATCTCGAAAACAATAACCCTATTCAGTGGGATCTCTAAGTCTAAAAATATTCGCTGAAAGTATGGCGGTGTGGGCTTTATATTCTTTTGGGAAAAGGGTCTGGGCTCTAGCGAAATGCTTTCAGTGGCGCGGGAAACGGAAGGTTATGGTGACTTTATGCACTACATTTCAGCCGAAACCTTCGATACATTATAGGGCTTACAGGAATAGGAAGCATGACTATTCCTAAACAATACATGTTGAAAGTATGGGAATCTGATCTGGGCTTTAGTAAAATTTCTTTTGGGAATAGGGTCTGGGTTTTAGCGAAATGCCTTTAGTGACAAGGGAAAGCAGAAGTTTTTGGACTATTAGGGGTTTAGGGGTTTAGGGTTTAGGGCCAGTTTAGGGTTTAGGGCTTATGGACTGCGAAGTTCAAATCCATCAGACCCCCTGGATCCCCCCCCCCCCCCCCCCTCGCAGAACCCCTGAGCCCCCTAAGCCTTATACTAACAGCTCCTGATGATAATGGGGGGGGGGGGGTACTATAATCCCTAAATTTAAAGGACTGTTAGTATAAGGGTGAGCATCCTACACCCCGAGACGCCCGAAAACTCAGCAAACTTCCCTAAACCCTAAACCCTGAACCCTAAACCCTAAACCCTAAACCCTAAGCCCTAAACCCTAAACCCTAAACCCTGAACCCTGAACCCTGTTGCCTGCTTGCTGCCGCTCCCGACTCTGACGCGGCTCCGAAACCTCGGAGGCTGCGCCAGCATTGCGTGCGTCAGAGTTCTAAGCCCACTTTCGGTCCGACAAGTGAACCCTCAATCCCCATAAGCCCGAAGTTCCTGATTACCCTAAACCCTAAACCCTAAAACCTAAACCTGCTCAAGGGTCCAGCGTTTACGGTTTAGGGCCTTTGCAACCCCAGGAAGTTTAAACCGCGGCGGCAATCTTCGTCGTCGCCATGGTCGTGGTATAGTGTACTAGCAACTCCGCGAACCTTCGACCCCAACAAGGTCCTATCGGTAGGAGATGGTGATCTCTCTTCTGCGTGGTCCTTTTTGGGGGGTCCTTATTCTACGGCGGCCCCTCTTATTCAGGGTACCCAAAAAAACGGCACCATATAGTTTAGAGAACTGACCATATAGGGAGGTGTAGCGTGGAATAGGCAGGGTAACAGACGATGCATTGAGGTGAAAGTCCCAAAGGGTGGACCTCACCTAAAACTCTGACTTCAAAGCAATGTGAGACTGCAAAAACGCCTCCATCTTCAACGACTGTAACCTTGAAAGCTGCACCCTAGACCCTAAACCCTAAACCCTAAACCCTAGACCCTAAACCCTAAACCCTAAACCCTAAACCCTAGACCCTAGACCCTAAACCACACCCAAAGACGTGTCTTGACAGCCTGGCAGCTTCTTTGGCTTCGGATGCCTTGGTGTAGTCGTGAGTCGCATCCCCCAGGGTTTCGTGCGTGGCCGGCTCTCAAAGTCATGGTCCCTCCTTTGAGGTGCCCTAGATGCAGATAAGGGCCTGTAGTTGAACAGGTACCCCCCCCCCACGGCGTTTAGGGGTTTAGGCGTCTGGGGGCGTAGGGATGTAGGGGTTTAGGGGTTTAGGGTTTAGGGCCCTAATAGACCCCAAACCCTCAACACCCTAAACCCTCAACTCAAAGCACTAAACCCTAAACCCTAAGCTCTACACCCTAAAACTCTACACCCTAAACCCTAAACTCTACACCCTAAACCCTAAACCCTAAACCCTAAACCCCAAACCCTAAACCTAAACCCCTACGCCCTAATCTCGGATCTCGGGCGAAGTCGCCGCCGGGGGAACGGGGAACGCCGCCGCCGACATGGAGCTCGCGGTGATGTTTCCACCTGGAGGGCGCCAGCCGCCTTGCGATGGGTTTGTAGGGTTTAGCGGGTTTAGGGTTTAGGGTTTAGGGCCAGGCCTTAGGGTTCAGGGTTTAAGGGGAGGAGAGCTGACAGCCTAAAAACTTCAGGGCTAGAAGTTGATCCTGAACCCTCCGCAATGTGCTTCATTCGGGTCCTCGGCGGGGAACTGGATTAAGGTTTGGCGGCTGGGGGATTTGGGGCTGGCAACCCTAACCAGTTCAGGGTTTCGGGCTGCGAGTTTAGGATTTAGAGCTTAGGTTGGGCACAGTGCCAAAAACCCTAGAAACCCTGAACCCCCTGAGCCTGAAACCCTACACCCGAGCCCACTTTCGCCGAAGCCTACCCAGCGAAAGAGCCCTGAGCCGCCATGCAGGCTCAAAGGAGAAGATTGCCAAACTCTGCCCTTAACTCTAAACTCTAAACCCTAAACCCTAAATCTAAAATTTAAACCCTAAACCCTAAACTGGGGAGGGTTTTGGGGCCCTGGAGAAGTTGAGACGTCCAGGCGTTCTTAAGGTTACATAGGGCTCGGGGCCCAGAGACCTTTCAACGTACTCCAAAATCCCAAAACCCTGTCAACCCTTTAGGCGTCAGGTTGAGGGATTGAGGCACTTTGCGGGTTCAAACCCTAAACCCTAAACCCCAAACCCTAAACCCTGAACCCTGAACCCTGAACCTGATCCCTGAACCCTGAACCCTAAACCCAGGCAACCCCCTCAAGCTATTCGGGCTACGCCGCCTGGGTAATGCTTCTCCACGGCCGGAGGGGGCGCCATGTAGCCGCTTCGATGCTCACTCGGCGCTGCCGGCGCGCCTCTTGATCTTAGGGTAATTATAAAAGCCTACACCCTAACCCCTAAACCCGAAACCCTGAGTATGGGCCCTTGCCGCGCGGTTTCAGGGCAGAGGGCTTGAGGGTTTGGGGCTGCTGTTGAAGACAAGCAATTTAGGACCTACAGCTCTCTACCCAAATCCCTGAACCCTCGACCCTAAGCCCTACGTCCTAAGCCCTAAACCCTACTAGACCCTCCAAACCCGAACCTCCCGGAACCTCATCCGGAACACAGGCCCACGAAGAGCCCAGAATCCAGGGACCCTAAGCCCTCAACCTCCATGGAATTTGAGGGCAGTTTGTGTTCGGGTTTAGGTTTAGGGTTCAGGGGTTGGGGGAGGCACTGAAGCCTTTAAATCCTAAAGCCCAGGAGTCATTCTACCTAACACTATAGAGACCTCCCGTTTCGGGAGCCCTAAACCCTAAACCCTAAACCCTAAACCCTAAACCCTAAACCCTAAACCCTAAACCCTAAACCTAAACCCTAAACCCTATAAGGGGGCTTAGGGTCTCCTTACATGCAGAGCTCTTGATCCGTTCTCGTGGGTATGCCTTGTAAACGAGCTTGGGGCTAGCCCTAAACCCTAAACCCTAAACCCCATACCCTAAACCCCATAAACCCTTAACCCTAAGCTCCAACCCCCCTGGCCTTAAACACAACAAAACTGCCACGTTTCAGATCCTGCTAAACCCTAAACCCTAAACCCTAAAATCCTAAACCCGAAACCGGAAACCGGAAACTCCAAACCCCCATGAGATCCGTCGCTGGAGGCTGCCGAGGCACGGGCAGCCGCCTCTGCGAGTCGCTCCTGCTAGGAGTTCGGGGTTTAGGGTTAGGGTTGAAGGGTTAAGGGTTAAGGGTTAAGGGTTAAGGGTTAAGGGTTAAGGGTTAAGGGTTAAGGGTTAAGGGTTAAGGGTTAAGGGTTAAGGGTTTAGGGTTTAGGGTTTAGGGTCCACCGACCCTGGGGGAAAAGGAGGTGAAAACCTCCCTCTTTCCCAACGCGGAGGGGGGGGGGGGGGGGGGGGTACCGGGCAGCTTTTTCCACCATGGCAAAAAACCTGACCCCCCTTACCCCTCCCCCCCCCCCCCCTACCCCCCCCCCCTACCCCTACCGCAGCCCTCCTGACCCTGACCCCCCCCCCCCTCCCCCCCCCACCCCCCCCCCCCCCCCCCTCCGGTTGTTGGGATGGGGCAAGCTGGCTTCAGCTCCTGTTTGGGTCCTGGTGCTACCCCCTACCCCCCCCCCCAACGTTTCACAGAGGCTCAAGCAAATCAACTTTTGGCATCCTTTGAGCTGACGAGCGTTTAAACCTTTCAACTATGCTCCAGCGGGGTCAGCGGCTTGAGCCGGAGGCTCTTAAATTTAGGGTTTAGGGTTTAGGGTTTAGGGTTTAGGGTTTAGGGTTTAGGGTTTAGGGTTTAGGGTTTAGGGTTTAGGGTTTAGGGTTTAGGGTAAGTTTCGGGCTTCATGGTTTTGGGTGCTTAGGGTTTAGGGTTTAGGGTTCCAGGGTTTAGGGGGTTTAGGGGCTTAGGGATTTGGGAACTTGGGGCTTAGCCGTGCTCAACCCCGAACCCTGAACCCTAAACCCTGAACCCTGAACCCTAAACCCTAAACCCTGAACCCTGAACCCTAAACCCTAAACTCTAGAAGCTTGCGACACAGGTTGTTGCGGCAAGTGTCAAGGCGGAACATCCCTTGCCCCGGACCCAAAGCCCTATGCCTACCCAGACCCTTTTCCTAAACCCTAAACCCTAAACCCTAAACCCTAAACGCTAAACCCTAAACCCTAAACCCTAAACCCTAAACCCTAAACACCTGGGCTGCAGGGTTTAGGGGTTTGGGTCCCAGAAGCCCCAGCCCTACCCAATACACGGGGCCAGTTTGGCGCCGAGGCTGGGGTTCGGGTTAAGGCCGCAACCCTGAAATACAGAAAGCGTGCTGGTTTAGGGCTTAGGGTTTAGAATAAATGTCAGAGGCAATGCATGAATGCAGGCACGCAAGGAGGCAACAAAAAGGAATTGGCACAGCGAAAACCCTAAACCGTCAACCCTAAACCCTAAACCCTAAAACCTAAAACCTAAACCTGGCACGCTCTCGCAGGCGGTGCCTGTGGGGAACCTGTTGAAACAAGGAGCCTCATATGGGCGTTTCCCAAAATCGGTGTATCCCTTTTCTACCACAAAAAACTATGTAATCCTTTTAAAGTATAGTATAATCTTTATCTATTACCCTTGTACCTTAACAAATCTCCTAGATACCTTAATAAGAACCCCGAATATATGCCCTATAAACCAGAAACCCTGGTTAGAAAGACCACCAACCAATATAACTTTTAAAGGAACCCCAAAAAGGGGTAACCCCCCTGGACACCCAGTATATATACACTCACCAATATTAAAAAGGAACCTTATATACACTCACCAAAAACAGTAATACAAACCCTGCTCCATGTAATCCTTTTAAAGGAACCCCAAAAACGGTGCCCACCCCCCACCACCCCCCATTCTCGGAAACCCGCATATATGAAAGAGGACCCCGCAGAGAGGGTCTCCTGGCAGTCGGCTAGCAGCGCTTCCTTGGCAGTGATCTGAGCACCTTGGGCCATGAGGGTTTAGGGTTTTAGGGTTTTAGGGTTTAGGGTTTAGGGTTAGGGTTTACGGTTTAGGGGTGGCAACCTCATCCTGCACCCTAATAAATCCCCAGCCAACCCCTAAACCCTAAACCCTAAACCCTAATCCCTAAACCCTATAAATCCTATAAACCCTAACCCCTAGAAGCCCGAAACCCTAATCCTGAACTCAGCCCTAAACCGCCGTGACATCTTCGAGGGTCTGGGGCCCGGGAGATAGAGTTTAGGGCTAAAAGTTCTAACGATGGGATTTAGACTTTTTTGGGTTTAGGGTTTAGGGTTTAGGGTTTAGGGTTTAGGGTTTAGGGTTTAGGGTTTAGGGTTTAGGGTTTAGGGTTTAGGGTTTAGGGTTTAGGGTTTAGGGAACCCCGTACCCCAAACCACAACCAACCTCTGTATTGAATCTTGGGGTCGTTGCATGGTTCCTTGGCATGGGCCTTTAAAAAGGGGACCCCCTTTCTTCTTATGCGCCCCATATATACCCTGTAGGGCCCTATAAACCCTAAGGGCCCACCATCCAGAACCCTTCAATTCAAAGAAGGCAAGGAACCATATTCAGGACCCATAAAACGACCCTTAGATTGAAAGGAAAAAACAATCTCCACTGCCACTCCTTGATGCCTTTACACCTAAGCCCAACTCCAGACATCCTAACGATTCTTCTACTGTTTATGTTTTAAGTCCTAATCTTCCCGTGACCCTAAACTCGAAACCCGAAACCCTAAAACCCTACTCGAAACCCTGATAGCCCAAGCTCCTAGCAAAACTGCCTCCTAGGTGCTCAGCTCGATCACCGCCTCGCGCATGGTCCGGACCTCCTGGTCCTTGCGCTCCAGTTCGCTCTGGACCTGGGAGGTTCATGGACTCGGGTTGACGCAGGGTTTAGGGTTTAGGATTTAGGGTTTAGGGTTTAGGGTTGAGGATTCGGGTTTTTGCGGGCCGGGCTGAGGGTTTACCGGTTTACCTGCAGGCTCCAATGTAGTTCCTTCTTTGACAAAAGGGAATTCCAGCATACAACCCCAAAAAGGTACTACGTAAAAGCGCTTGAACTTGTGCTGGTGCTAAGTTGGGGCAGCAGGAGCTTGTTGCCCTAAACCCTAAACCCTAAACCCCAAACCCTCTAAACCCTGTGAACCCCAAGGCTTCTAAGCCTTCAAAAATGGAAGTCTTCGTGTCCCTGCCGGCTGCCGGGGACACTTTGGTGAAGACTTGCATTCCTAGCAGCTTTCCCTAAAGCCTAAACCCTAAACCCCGAACCCTTATAAAGCCTAAACCTCCAGAGGGCGACCTCAAGTCAGAACTCCGTTCGCAGTAGAAACTTTTTTGCCGAATCCTCAGCCCTAAACCCAAAACCTTAAGACTCCTAATCCCTAATCCCTAATCCCTGATGCCTAATCCCTAATCCCTAATCCCTAAACCCTAAACCCTAAACCCTAAACCCTAAACCCTAACCTCAGCTCCCGCCTTCTCCTCCAGAGTCTCGCCAATCCTCTGGCCTCGGTGTCTTGCTGCTCGGTTTAGGGTTTAGGGTTTAGGGTTTAGGGTTTAGGGTTTAGAGTTAAGGGTTAAGGGTTAAGGGTTAAGGGTTAAGGGTTTAGGGTTTAGGGTTTAGGGTTTAGGGTTTTCGGGCTTCGGGTTTAGGGCTTAGGGTTGTTTGGGGGTTTTCAGGTTCGTTTGGCCTTAGGGCTTTGGGGGTTTTGGCTCGTTTGGGCTTAGGGCTTTATAGGATTTAGGGGTTTAGGGTGCTGTTCCCTTGAGGTTTTGCTTCGTTTGCGCTGAGGGGGCTTATAGGATTGCAGGTTTTAGGGTGCTGTCATTTGGGGGGGGTTGGGCTCCTTGAGGCTTAGGGGTTTTATAGGGTTTAGGGTTTAGAGTTTAGGGTTTAGGGTTTAGGGTTTAAGGTTTCGGGTTGAGAAGTTTAGGGTAAAAGCCCTACGCCAACCCCCAAACCAGGTCTTCAGTTCTCCAGAGACATCCCGGTCAAGTCCGAAGCACTTGGGCCCCCTGAACCCTAAACCCTAAACCCTAAGCAATAAACCCTAAACCTTAAGCACTAAACCCTAAACCCTAAACCCTAAACCCTAAACCCTAAACCCTAAACCCTAAACCCTAAACCCTAAACCCTAAACCCTGTCCCCGCACACCGACTCCGAAACATCCAACTCCTGAATCCCGATTTCCGGAGGCCCTACGCTCCTAAACCCCTGAACCCCTAAACCCCTAATTGCCCTGAAGGGTTTAGGGTTTAGGGTTTAGGGTTTAGGGTTTAGGGTTTAGGGTTTCCTTTGTGTTGAGGGCTGTCGTGTACTTGGGGTGTATAAGCGTGTAGGGTTTAGGGCTTAGGGCCTCCGCCCCCCCCCCCCCCCCCCCATGTTGGGTTGAGGGTGTGGTAAACCCTAAACCCTAAACCGCAAACCCCCAAGTGACTCAAGGACCTTGCAGGGGTTGTGGTCGAGCGGCGTCCGCCGATGGCCCCGCGACGCGCCGACGCCGTCTCGAGGTCAGTGACGCGAGCCCTGGACAAGCGCGCTGACCCCTAAAACTAAACCCTAAGCCCTAAACCCTAAACCCGCTGAGGGTTTAGGGTTGCACGTCTACAGGGTTCAGGGTTCAGAGCTTAGGGTTTAGGGTTATTTGGGGCTGGGGACAAAGGTTTTAGGATTTAGGGCTCCCCCCCCCCCCCCCCCCCCCCCCCCCCCCGCACCCTTTGCCGTTGAGAAGAACATCTGCAGATCAATGTAGGGTCTAGGACCCTAAACCCTAAACCCTAAACCCTACACCCTAAACCCTACAACCTAAACCCTAAACCCTAAACCCTAAACCCGAAACCCTAAACCCTAAACCCAAACCCTAAACCGCGTGGGTGGACTGAACCTTAAACCATGAACCCTCAACACTTCACACCACAACCCTCGCGCCATAACCCCCTCAACCCTCAGATCACAACCTCTCAGGCTTCAACCCCCTAACACCCAAAACTAAAACCCTAAATCCTAATTTCAAGAGGCTGTCCTGAACAGGGCGAAAACCCTGGACCCTAAGTTCTACTCCCTCACCCTAAGACGCGAAACCCCCCCAAACCCAGAACACGGGGGCCTTCATAATCAGAACAGGGTTTTGGGTGGGTTATTAAAGTTCATTTATATAGAGAGCATAAGGGAATACTACTACTATTTGTCATTATTCCTAAGCCCTAAACCCTAAACCCTAAACCAGAAACCCAAAACCCAAAACCCAAAACCCAAAACCCAGAACCCAAAACCCAAAACCCAAACCCAAAACCCAAACCCAAAACCCAAAAACCCTAAACCCAAAACCCAACAGTAACCGGCAGCTCCCCCCAATGAGGGCCAGGCTTGAGGGCCTCGATGACGACCACGGCGCGCTTGAGCTTGCTGCCTTAGCTGACTCGCATGGTCCTAAGGGTTTAGGGTTTAGGGTTTAGGGCTAGGGACCCAGAGGGCTCTATACGTCTATAAGGGCCTCAGGGTTGTTAGGGCGCTGACGGTTATCCAGACTGACCCCTTGAAAGGACCCAAAGATTAAAGGCCCAAATAGTACCCGACACTACTATTGGTCATTCCCTAAACCCTAAACCCTCAACCCTAAACCCTAAGCCCTAAACCCTAAACCCTAAACCCTAACCCATAAAGGGATCTAGTCTTTGGACCTTGAAGGCAACCTTGAGGTCCGACAAGGCCTTGGCCTAGGACGCCAGAAAGTCCGACTCACAACTTCGGCGTTTGGGGTTCAGGGTTTAGGGCTTAAGGTATAAAGTGACAGACCAGGGTTTTTTTGTTTTACGAAAACGGGGCTTACCCGTCTTATACCCTTGTAGAATAGAATCCCCTTAAGGGATCCCAAGGTAATCGCTTAAACCCTTTTCCCAAAACAAGGGTACCCCAAATAGAATAGAATCTCAAGGTACATGTTTAAACCCTAAAACCCTAAAACCCTAAAACCCTAAAACCCTAAAACCCTGAAACCCTAGACCCTAAGACCCTAAACCCTACAACCCTAGACCCTAAACCCTAAAACCCCAAAACCCTAAACCAAAAAGGGTGCCCACATTTTCGGAAACCCCCACCCCTGGCTTGAGGGCTATAGCATAGACATGGGGGTTTACGATCTTCGGTCCTGATTACTTGTAAGGCGGTCCTACTATTTAGGGGGGGGGGTCTATAGTTGGGGTTCCTTATCATCGTAAACCCCCCATATGTTGCGAACAAGTGCAGGCTAAGGCTTAGCAGTTGCTTGGCCCTAAACCCTAAACCCTAAACCCGAAACTGCGTCCGCGTGGCGAGATTCCTCGCACTCGGGGCAAACTCGACGGGCCACAGGGGACCTTGCCGGCGACCTGGGTTAGGGACAAGAATAGCCCGAAAATTGGGGTCATATTTCCTATATTACTATAATCCTACTAAGGTATATGAACCACAAGTCTTTTCAAGACGGATCCGGAATCGTTTCGGGTTTAGGGTTTAGGGTTTAAGGAGCTGTGACCTCAGCGCCCGTTCGGTGCTGATCACCTTCGTGAGCCCCAATTGCAAAAGAGAACGCCCGAGCTTTCACCCAAGACACACTGCAAGTTACAAAATGCCTGCTGCATACACGCCTGCCAAACCCTAAACCCTAAAGCCAAAAGCCGAAACCCTTAAGCCTAAAGCCTGAAGCATAGACCCCTAAACCCTAGTTAAACCCTAAACCCTAAACCCAAAAACCAAAAACCAAAACCCTAACCCTGATCCCGCATCGCGCCGTTTCGATGTCCATGGCCTTTGTGTCTTCGCTCGCTGAATGTTCCTTGTCCCTAAACCCTAAACCCTAAACCCTAAACCCTAAACCCTAAACCCTAAACCCTAAACCCTAAACCCTAAACCCTAAACCCTGTCGCATCCCGTTTACCAAAGCCGGCCAAGGCCAAGGATGCTGGGGGTGCAAAGTCCTTAATCCGAGGATCTGATGAATAAAGCCCCCGAAATTAGGGTTTAGGGTTTAGGGTTTAGGGTTGAGGGTTTAGGGTTTAAAGCAAATATTCTTTGCCCCGAACCCTCCAGGAGGACTACTTTCCATTACGGGAGCCAAAAGCCCGAAAATGCACACACAAACCCCCGACATTCAAAGCAAAAGACGTGGGGACCCAAAAAATTTGGAATTGCTGAAGGCTACAGGAATAATGGACAGACCGCCGGCCTGAGAGGACGAGAAGGACAGAGATTTTAAATTGCTTGAGTAATGACACGACGTGCTCTCGGATTTTTTTGGAATTGGAGACTGCAGCAGAAAACTGCGATTCCTTACTACTTTCAATCGAGGATCATTGCTCAAATCACTCGCGCCTGACCTACCCCTTACGGGGCCGGAATTCAGGCCAGAATTTGGGATTAACAAAACCCCCTCAAATAATGGCAAGCCCGGCGGGCCCACCATGACGTGGCAAAAGGAGCGGAAAAGGACACAAGAGGACAGCCCCTTTCCGCGCACCTGCCCCCCCCCCCCCCCCCCAATCCCAGCCCAGCCCCTTGCTATTATTCTCGGGGGGGGGGGGGGGGCCTATTAATCAAAGCTCGGATAATATAGGGGCCTTAAGCAGGGGTTAGGGTTTAGGGTTTAGCATTTAGGGCATAGGGCTTAGGGTTTAAGGCTACTATAGGGGCCGCAATAAATGCAATGAGGTTTTGGGGTGGTATTATAGTCTAGTTGTACAGGGACCACAAGGGAATACCATTAGCAATTTCTCCGACCCCTACACTTTAAATAAACCCCACACTAATCCATAATAGTATGGAGGTTTACGCCCAAATAGTGGGATTCCTGCAAAAGTAAGGAGCCCAATAAAGTACCCCTAATGTCGGAAACCCATTGAGGAACCCTAAACCCTAAACCCTAAACCCTAGACCCTAAACCCTAAACACTAAACCCTAAACCCAGCAAAGGTGGTGCCGACGAGGGGCGGCTCCATGTGAGGATCCATTCCGCGAGGCAGGGGCGGGGAGCGGTGCGGCTCGGCTGCCGTAGTTTCGGGCTTCGAGTTTCGGGATTTAGGTTTAGGGTTTTAGGGTTTTAGGGTTTTAGGGTTTTAGGGTTTTAAGGTCTTAGGGTTTTAGGGTTTTAGGGTTTTAGGGTCTTAGTGTCTTAGGGTTTTAGGGTTTTAGGGCGTGAGGGTCTTAGGGTGTGAGGGTTTAGGGTGTGAGGGTTTAGGGATTAGGGAAGTTTAGGGAAGTTTAGGGTTCAGGGTTTAGGGTTCAGGTGTCGGGCTGAGGGGTTCGTGTTCCGGGATTTAGGACTCCGGGGTTTCGGGGAGGTGGTGACCATGCCTAAGCTGTGTCTAGGGTTTAGGGTTTCGGTTTTAGGGTTTAGGGTTTAGGGTTTAGGGTTTAGGGTTTAGGGTTTAAGGTTTAGGGTTTAGGGTTTAGGGTTTAGGGTTTAGGGTTTAGGGTTTAGGGTTTAGGTTGATAAGCCTGAGGTGCGAAATCAGTGGACACGGGCTTGAAGATACCCTTGGTGACCGGTTTAGGGTTTAGGGTTTAGGGTTTAGGGTTTAGGGTTTAGGGTTTAGGGTTTAGGGTTTAGGGTTTAGGGTTTAGGGTCTCGAGTGATCCGTGATGCGGTTTGTGCTCTGCTGTGTGTCTGGGTTCCGGGACATGGGTCGAGCAAGGGCACCGCTGCCCTACAGCCTACAGGGCCTAAACCCGAAACCCGAAACCCTAAACCCTAAACCCTAAACCCTAAACCCGAAACCCTAAACCCTAAACCCGAAACCCTAAACCCTTAGGTGAACCCAGAACCCAGGTCTGGGAGCCAATGGCCTGCGGCGTAGGGTTCGGAGTCCGGAGGTGTAGGGTTTAGGGTTTAGGGTTTAGGGTTTGGGGTTTGGGGTTTGGGGTTTGGGGTTTGGAGTTTAGGGCTTCCGGTAGTTGAGGGACTCAGGGCTCTCTCTCTCTCTCTATCTATCTCTTTCTCGCTCTCTCTCTCTCTCTTGATTTGTTTTGCTTTGTGTTTCTCTCTCTCTCTCTCTGTCTCTCTCTCTCTCTCTGTTTCTCTGGCTTTTTTTATTCTCTCTCTCTCTCTCATCGGGCGACCCTTCGGGTTTAAGGGTTTGTAGGGTTTAGGGCACTAACAGTAACAACAAAGAGCACGTGACCTCAAGCATTCAGCGCCTTTAAGCAAACCCAAGGCTTGCTAGTGTCGCAATACGTGGGACTTCTGTAATTACTCAGGTGCATTCTGAGCATATCTCAAAAGGAAGGAACCACCCTAAACCCTTAACCCGAAACCCTAAACCCGAAGCCCTAAACCCTAAACCCTACCCTCAACATGCTGTGTTCGTGATTCTCGGGACACCAAAGGCATCAAAAGGGACCCAAACCTTGCAGCTAGTGGCGGTTTCTTCTGGGTGCTCATGCAGCCCCAAATCATACTCTCTAAGGAGTTAATGAACAGTTTCACCCTAAACCCTATAAACCCAAAACCCAAACCCAAGTGCACAACCCACAGGGAGACCGGGCCGACATTCAGGGTTCACTGTTTCCGGGTTTGGGGTTTAGAGCAGTTGACCGGCCTCGACCTCTTCTTCGACTCCCTGCGGACAGGAAGCTCTGGGCTTAAGAGCTACACTTGCTCGTTTGCTTGGGGCTGAGCGTTTAGGGTTTAGGGTTTGGAGTTTAGGGTTTGGGGTTTCGGGTTCAGGGTTTCGGGTCCTGAGGTTGGGGAAAATTTGTGCCGAGAGAGACCTGGGGCACCTTGCACAGGTTGCAAGGGAACCCCGAGACCACACCTACTCACCGACTCGGAACCTGCGACCAATTATTCAGGGTTGAGGGTTCAGGGTTTGAGGCACATGTGATAACATCCAACAAACCTCCTAGGCGCCACTTATGCGGGGGGATCTTGACCTCGCTTTCAGAGAAAGGCTTAGCCTCTCAGTATCCTGGGGTCGTCACACCCTCGAACACAAAAACGAACCCGAAACCCTAAAACCCTAGACCGCCAAACCCTGAACCTACAATCCTTCAATGATTCAAAGCCCAACATCTAAGACGCCGTATTAAAGAAACACTCTACAAGCCTACGCCTTGGAATGTTCTCCCTTATAGATCATGATGGGGGGGGTACTAACCCCTAGAAAGGACTGTGAGTAAGGGGGAACATCCCCACCCTACACACACACACACACCCAACTAAACCCTAAACCCGACGATCCTTACACCTACTTCTCATGATGTACAGGAACAACCCGCTAGGGTTCAGGGTTTAGGGTTTAGGGTTTAATCCGAGCAGCTGTTTAATCAATACCCCCACATTTAAAGAAATGTTTTTCGTCCGGAAGCCCGCCGGAAGACTACTTTCCATTAGGGTGGATTTCGTATGGGGATAACCCCCCACATTTAAAGAAACATTTTTCGGGGGGGTCCAAAAATCTGTCAGCAGGCTTCTTGTTTTGCTTGCGGAGATGCGAAGCTACAGCACCTCAGGGATCTGTAGCCTATTGTCTTTAATAGAGAATCAATGCAGGGCCATGGTCCAATTGTTGCGTAGCCCTGCCTTCCTTACCCCCCCCCCCCAATTAAACAGGTGCTCGGATTAGGGTTTAGAGTTTAGGGTTTAGGGTGTAGGGTTTTAGGGTTTAGGGCTTAGGGTAACACCTCAGAGTTGGGAAGCGTCCCCTACTCGGCTACTAAGATGCTGAAGCGGACGCATCCCAAGCAGAAACAACCTCCCCTACAAGCAATACACACTATGAACCCTATAAACCGCCATAAGCACCACAAGATCCTAGAAGTTACAAAAACCCCGATTCAGTCCCACCCAAGCCCGATACTAAACCCTAAACCCTAAACCCTAAACCCTAAACAGTAAACCCTAAACCCTAAACCGTAAACCCTAAACCCTAAACCCTAAACCCTAAACTGTAACCCTAAACCCTAAACCCTAAACCCTAAACCCTAAACCCTAAACCCCACTCTCGAGTTGCCCAAGGCCGCCACTGAGCAGACTCGGCCTGCCGTGTGCACCTCAACCACGCCTGGAGCCGAAGGCTTTGAGGTTTAGGGTTTAGGGTTTAGGGTTTAGGGTTTAGGGTTTAGGGTTTAGGGTTTAGGGTTTAGGGTTTAGGGTTTAGGTTAGGGTTTAGGGTTTAGGGTTTAGGGTTTAGGGTTTAGGGTTTAGGGTTTAGGGTTTAGGGTTTAGGGTTTAGGGTTTAGGGTTTAGGGTTTAGGGTTTAGGGTTTAGGGTTTTAGGGTTTAGGGTTTAGGGTTTAGGGTTTAGGGTTTAGGGGGCTGGGGGTTCAGGGTTTAGAGGGTTTTTGTCGGGTCTTTAAAGGGTTTCCAGAGGGTTTCGAGGATTTAGATGGTTCAGAGGCTTTAGGTTTATAGGATTGAAAGTAGGGCCTATGGGGTTTCTGGCATTGACGGCTTAGTTCATGAGGCACAAGAAACAGCTTACTTTACCACGAGCTTTAGCCATTATGGTCCTTTTTAAGTACACTTAATCCTGAATAGAGAACTTCGTATTGTGATAGGACCTCTGATAGGACCACCCGAAAAACTAGGGGGTTTCATTACAATACATAAACAGGGACCATACCTTAAAGAACCCCCCCTCCCCCCCACAAAAAAAAAAGAAAACGGTGGTGGTTGGGGTCGGTCTTTGGGGTATGCGTACGACTACCACAGGATACAGGGGTCCATTGCTGCGTTCGGCGAGGGAACGACGGTGTCATAAAGCTGTGTCATGCGTTTTAGAGAGGTTTGGCGAACCCTAAACCCTAAACCCTATTAGGCCCCACGCCCTGCGACCGCTTCACCTCCTCGACCCTAAGGCCTAAACCCCACACCCTGGCCTCCTAAAACCCTCTGAAGAAATTCCTGGGTTTAGGGTTTAGGGTTTATGATCCTATAAAAGCCAATAAGGGAAAAGATCGAATATCCCAACAGCCTACCTGCAAATCACAAAATCTAAAGGCCCATGAGGCCCCTCAAGCCCTCGTCCACTGAAGCCTCGGTGGTCTCTTCTTGGGTCAGAGCACGGCCGATGACGCTGATCTCAGGGGCTTGTGCGGTTTCACCCGAAACCGTACACCCTGAACTTTAAACTTTGAACCCTAAACCCCAAATTTTAAACCAAGGGTATGTGGCTCATCAGCAAAAATCACCGCGGCTCCACATGGGGGAAAACCGAGGGACCCCCCAAAAAAAGACCCCCAAACAGAAGGATTCACTTATTTATAAGGACCCAAGGTACCCCTAATCTCGGAAACCCCCATATCTAGTTCATGGTTGGGATAATAAATTAGAAATTTAAGTGTGTATTCCGTATTGGGTTTTAAGTACCCTGAAAAATGCAAAATGTTACCCAACTATGACCAAGCTATGGCCAGATGTCTAAACTTGCCTTAGGGTCTCTGCGACACTGTGGCGCCCAGGGGGACCTAGGAAGAGGCCATCACTTTATTAGAGAACTTGAAGTAGTTCTGTTTGCAGCTTGGGCGGCGAACGGCATTTATCCCTAAACCCTAAACTAAACCATAACCCCTAAACCCTAGACCCGGTTTGGGAGGCTCTGAGGACTCCTATGAAGGTCTAAGGAGCGGCGCATGGATAGCAACGAGCCCCCCCCCCCCCCCAGAAGAAAAACTGGGAAGCAAATCCCGGAGCCCGGAGCACCAAACCTCCGAAACACCCAGGTTTGGGATTTGGGGTTTAGGGTTTGAGGTTTGGGTTTGGGGTTCAGGGTTCAAGGCTTCATGCAACTGAAGCCAGGAAACACGGCACCCCCGAGCCTCTAAAAAAGCCCCCCCCCCCAAACCTGAAAGTGCTGCGGAGCCGGATCAGGACCCCAGGGGGTTTAGGCTTAGGGTTTACGGTTGTAGGGTGTAGGGCTGCTTGGAGATTCATGGGTACTTGTAAGTGAGGTTATAAGTAGGGTAACTGTAGCCCGATTTAGGGCACTTGTAGCCCCACTTAGAAGTACCCA